TGCTTTGAGTGTTTTTATAATCATGTGTTACATTCTAGTGTGCATTCATGTGTTGAAATTTTGAGGTTAATCGTGGTTTAAATGTCTGGTGTTGATTCGAGTTTCAATGTTTGGGTTGGCTAATCGAGTGGTGGTTTTCAATGGTGTTAAAATTTTGTTGGAATCATGGTTTAAACCAACTTCTGATGTTGGTAATTTCGGGTGTTCAATAGTTTCTGATGTGTTGACAAATCTATTTGGAATGTTCTACGTGGGAAACTTTGATAAGTGCTAAGTGTTGACATGTTTCATAATAGTAGTTACTACTGGTTCACATGTACAATGGCTTCTGACATAGAAACTTTTTCTGGAAATGCTTCGGTGTCTAACTGGATGGTTAAAAATGCTTCTGTTGGACATGGCTAACATCTTACGATTGACTAACATGCTATACGAACTTAAATGATTTGGCCAATAATCAATGTAATTTGGCACAGAACTAAATGCATAATAAAATTGGATCAATGACTATACTGGTGGAATAATACTATTATGCATCTACACAAATTTATGGCCAAAATGAATACACAAGACTATACTGACATGGACTACAATGGAAAAAACTGACCCTTTCTAAAAACATACTTAAAACGACTTTTGGGAAAACATGACTATACTGCACTGAGATAACACTTGACATATGAACACATGAACACACATGCTAACTGACAAGGCATGAAATAACACAGGGTATAGGCACATGAGTAACACATGAACTATTGGAAACATGACAACCTGAATATGGGAAAAAGATACAAACAATACTCAAATTGGACACAGGAAATTTAATGACTACTGAAGGCTAAAATTTGGGGGAAAACTAAGGCAATGGGGCTAACTAAAAGGCCCAAAAAAAAATTTTGGGGGGAAAAGCAAAAACCCAAAACAATCTTTCGAAAGGGAAAACAGTATTTTTTTTCGACCATGATAAATTCGGATTAGCTATGTTTTATCAGCAGATAGTGCAAGAAACAACTTCTCGCGGTGCCAGTACCCGGCTAGGGCTTGCCGTATGTGATTTTTGTTTATTGGACTATCTTATTGAAACTTGGGCAATGTATGTTGAAAAGATGCTTCTTAACATACACCATAAATGAAAGAAATCGAACTATAAATAACGGAGGTCACTGCTCAGCCATTACATGCCTCTTAGGACTCGTGCAATGTTAGTTTTCTCTGTTCATTTTCTCAGTATTTTCCAAGCTTTTTTACATTTAGTTTACTATTAAACTGTGCATTCTATGATATAATTAACCATTTTTGTGCTTGAAAATCGTAAAAAAACAATATTTGCATACAGTCATAGGGGTCTGGAACGGATTAATTGTATTTACATACAATTCAGTGGGGAAATTAGGTTCGGGATACGACCAAATCGAGTCGCGACCAGAGTTTTGGAACGAATTATGGTCGTGACCAGAGTTTTGGAACGAATTATGGTCGCGACCAGAGTTTTGGAACGAATTATGGTCGTGACCAGAGTTTTGGAACGAATTATGGTTGTGACCAGAGTTTTGGAACGAATTATGGTCGTGACCAGAGTTTTGGAACGAATTATGGTCGCGACCAGAGTTTTGGAACGAATTATGGTCGTGACCAGAGTTTTGGAACGAATTATGGTCGTGACCAGAGGTTCCACTGTACAATGTTACTTGAGTCACATAGATTTGATATATATTTTTTTAATTAAATAGTAATTTTAATAGGACCCCTTTTTTCTTCTCCCACGAGCAAGACATCTTCCACTGTCTCTTATTACTGAGACATCCTCTACTGTCTCTTATTACTGAGACATCTTCCACTGTCTCTTATTACTGAGACATCTTCCACTGTCTCTTATTACTGAGACATCTTCCACTGTCTCTTATTACTGAGACATCTTCCACTGTCTCTTATTACTGAGACATCTTCCACTGTCTCTTATTACTGAGAAATCTTCCACTGTCTCTTATTACTGAGACATCTTCCACTGTCTCTTATTACTGAGACATCCTCTACCGTCCCTTATTGCTGAGACATCCTCTACCGTCTCTTATTACTGAGACATCCTCTATCGTCTCTCATTACTGAGACATCCTCTATCGTCTCTCATTACTGAGACATCCTCTATCGTCTCTCATTACTGAGGCATCCTCTATCGTCCCCTCATTACTGGAACATCCTCTATCGTCTCTCATTACTGAGGCATCCTCTATCGTCTCTTATTACTGAGACATCCTCTACGTCTCTTATTACTGAGACATCCTCTATCGTCTCTTATTACTGAGACATCCTCTATTGTCTCTTATTACTGAGACATCCTCTATCGTCTCTTTTTACTGAGACATCCTCTATCGTCTCTCATTACTGAGACATCCTCTATCGTCTCTCATTACTGAGACATCCTCTATCGTCTCTCATTACTGAGGCATCCTCTATCGTCTCTCATTACTGAGACATCCTCTATCGTCTCTCATTACTGAGGCATCCTCTATCGTCTCTCATTACTGAGACATCCTCTATCGTCTCTCATTACTGAGACATCCTCTATCGTCTCTTATTACTGAGACATCCTCTACCGTCTCTTATTACTGAGACATCCTCTATCGTCTCTTATTACTGAGACATCCTCTACCGTCTCTTATTACTGAGACATCCTCTATCGTCTCTCATGCTGAGACATCCTCTATCGTCTCTCATTACTGAGACATCCTCTATCGTCTCTTATTACTGGACATCCTTACGTCTCTTATTACTGAGACATCCTCTATCGTCTCTTATTACTGAGACATTCTCTACTGTCTCTCATTACTGAGACATCCTCTATCGTCTCTCATGCTGAGACATCCTCTATCGTCTCTCATGCTGAGACATCCTCTATCGTCTCTTATTACTGAGACATCCTCTACCGTCTCTTATTACTGAGACATCCTCTATCGTCTCTCATGCTGAGACATCCTCTATCGTCTCTCATGCTGAGACATCCTCTATCGTCTCTTATTACTGAGACATCCTCTATCGTCTCTTATTACTGAGACATCCTCTATCGTCTCTCATTACTGAGACATCCTCTATCGTCTCTTATTACTGAGACATCCTCTATCGTCTCTCATTACTGAGACATCCTCTATCGTCTCTTATTACTGAGACATCCTCTATCGTCTCTCATTACTGAGACATCCTCTATCGTCTCTTATTACTGAGACATCCTCTATCGTCTCTCATTACTGAGACATCCTCTATCGTCTCTTATTACTGAGACATCCTCTATCGTCTCTCATTACTGACACATCCTCTACTGTTTCTCATTACTGAGACATCCTCTACTGTCTCTCATTACTGAGACATTCTCTACCGTCTCTCATTACTGAGACATCCTCTGTCGTCTCTCAATACTGAGACGTCCTCTGTCGTCTCTCATTACTGAGACATCCTCTATCGTCTCTCATTACTGAGACGTCCTCTGTCGTCTCTCATTACTGAGACATCCTCTATCGTCTCTCATTACTGAGACGTCCTCTGTCGTCTCTCATTACTGAGACGTCCTCTGTCGTCTCTCATTACTGAGACATCCTCTACTGTCTCTCATTACTGAGACATCCTCTACTGTCTCTCATTACTGAGACATCCTCTACTGTCTCTCATTACTGAGACATTCTCTACTGTCTCTTATTACTGAGACATTCTCTACTGTCTCTCATTACTGAGACATTCTCTACTGTCTCTCATTACTGAGACATTCTCTACTGTCTCTCATTACTGAGACATTCTCTACTGTCTCTCATTACTGAGACATTCTCTACTGTCTCTCATTACTGAGACATTCTCTACTGTCTCTCATTACTGAGACATTCTCTACTGTCTCTCATTACTGAGACATTCTCTACTGTCTCTTATTACTGAGACATCCCCTATCGTCTCTTATTACTGAGACATCCTCTACTGTCTCTCATTACTGAGACATTCTCTACTGTCTCTCATTACTGAGACATTCTCTACTGTCTCTCATTACTGAGACATCCTCTGTCCTCTCCCATGAATAAAACATATCGTTCTTTTATATTCACACTGGGAAATATTTTCATTTGCTAAACCACAGATAAAGAATATATAGGTTATGAAGTCTTCTCTGCAGACACTCGTCTGTTATGCTCATCCTGTCGCTGCAGTGACGCAGTAGTCTGGTCATGTACGTTGTTTAACACCTACCTGGAGTCTACCTCGAGGTTATTCCAGGGATCAACACCCCCGCGGTTCGGTCCACGACCAGGCCTCCCAGTGGATTAGAGCCTGATCAACCAGGCTGTTACTGCTGGCCGCACGCAGCCCAACGTACGAATCACAGCCTAACTGATCCGGCACTGACTTTAGGTATATGTCCAGCTCTCTCTTGAAAGCAGCCAGGGGTTTATTGGTAATTCCCTTAATGCTTGATGGGAGGCTGTTGAACAGTCTTGGGCCCCGGACACTTATGGTGTTTTCTCTTAGTGTACCAATGGCGCCCCTACTTTTAATTGGGGGTATTTTGCATCGCCTGCCCAGTCTTTTACTTTTGTAGGGAGTGATTTCTGTGTGCAGATTTGGGACCATTCCTTCCAAGATTTTCCAAGTGTAGATTATGATATATCTCTCCCTCCTGCGTTCCAACGAGTACAAGTCAAGTGCTTCCAAGCGTTCCCAGTAGTTAAGGTGCTTGACAGAACTTATACGTGCAGTAAAGGATCTCTGTACACTCTCTAGATCTACAATTTCACCTCAGTCGGCCCAAACACACACCCTGGCACTACCCATATATGCCTTTTTATTCTTCATATGGGACGATCATACTACTGCGCTCATCAATCTGGCCATTTATCCATGTACACAAGTTGGCCTATCATCGCCCGTTACATCATTAGACCATTATCGTGGCCACCTATACCCGGAGAGGACCTTGACCTGTTAGTACAGATTGGTAATGAGTCTACTGTGTGTACACTAACCTCTACGATAGTTGCTGCAGGAAGTGAAGGTGTCCGTGAGAGAATGGCAGCAGACTGGCGGTGTCCGAGGGTGGTTACCTGCTGACAGTCGTAGATGGCTGCATATGTCTCGCCGTCAGTGTCAAAGACAACGTAATCTATCTCTCCTATAATATCTAGGTGAGACAAGAACATGTATAAGTAAAATTATGAAGTAATCAAGTGACATTGTACATAATTTTTGTATTGATTATCAGCATGTCTTTCATAATTATTGATTATCAACATGTCTCATAATTATTGATTATCAACATGTCTCATAATTATTGATTATCAACATGTCTCATAATTATTGATTATCAGCATGTCTCATAATTATTGATTATCAACATGTCTCATAATTATTGATTATCAGCATGTCTCATAATTATTGATTATCAGCATGTCTTTCATAATTATTGATTATCAGCATGTCTCATAATTATTGATTATCAGCATGTCTCATAATTATTAATTATCAGCATGTCTTTCACAATCAGGTTATAACGGTTATGGTTTTTGCCAGTATCAATTAATTCCGATTTTTTCAAGTTTAAAATGCATTTTACCAATATTTTTGTATAATCCATTATTTTATATACAAATAATTTTTTATTATTGCAATTCTGATTATGATAGTAAAAAAAACATTACGAATTACTTATTCTGTAATTTGTATGAAATACTGTATAAGTTTATATAGGATATATAAATTCCCCCCCTCGTAAAGTCTATCAGAGATTTAAATCTCTGATAGACATTTTTATCTGGTGGTGGACAGGTTACATGAAGCCTTTAATGACTCTCTTATAGTACAGAAAATAGGAATTAAAACAATTGATTATTAACTAACCCAGAGAGATGACTATCTTAGCTGATAAGCACTGATAGGATAATTTGTTCCCAGGTGATATTACAGGCTATATGAGGCCTTAATGACCCTCATGTAGTCGATAGACTTTAAACTCAGTTAGCCAAGAAGCACTAAGACGTGTAAGTCTCTCAGTGTATATACACTCGTAATTATAATATCTACGTCAGGAATAATGTGTTGACTTGAAACAATCAAATTACAACCATTGACTGTGTCCTGAAGAAGGACTGGTGTTGGTGTAACTCTGGTGTCAACACGAGGCTCCATGTATATACCTGGTGTTGGTGTAACTCTGGTGTCAACACGAGGCTCCATGTATATACCTGGTGTTGGTGTAACTCTGGTGTCAACACGAGGCTCCATGTATATACCTGGTGTTGGTGTAACTCTGGTGTCAACACGAGGCTCCATGTATATACCTGGTGTTGGTGTAACTCTGGTGTCAACACGAGGCTCCATGTATATACCTGGTGTTGGTGTAACTCTGGTGTCAACAGGAGGCTCCATGTATATACCTGGTGTTGGTGTAACTCTGGTGTCAACACGAGGCTCCATGTATATAGCTGGTGTTGGTGTAACTCTGGTGTCAACACGAGGCTCCATGTATATACCTGGTGTTGGTGTAACTCTGGTGTCAACACGAGGCTCCATGTATATACCTGGTGTTGGTGTAACTCTGGTGTCAACACGAGGCTCCATGTATATACCTGGTGTTGGTGTAACTCTGGTGTCAACAGGAGGCTCCATGTATATACCTGGTGTTGGTGTAACTCTGGTGTCAACACGAGGCTCCATGTATATACCTGGTGTTGGTGTAACTCTGGTGTCAACAGGAGGCTCCATGTATATACCTGGTGTTGGTGTAACTCTGGTGTCAACACGAGGCTCCATGTATATAGCTGGTGTTGGTGTAACTCTGGTGTCAACACGAGGCTCCATGTATATACCTGGTGTTGGTGTAACTCTGGTGTCAACACGAGGCTCCATGTATATACCTGGTGTTGGTGTAACTCTGGTGTCAACACGAGGCTCCATGTATATACCTGGTGTTGGTGTAACTCTGGTGTCAACAGGAGGCTCCATGTATATACCTGGTGTTGGTGTAACTCTGGTGTCAACAGGAGGCTCCATATATATAGCTGGTGTTGGTGTAACTCTGGTGTCAACACGAGGCTCCATGTATATACCTGGTGTTGGTGTAACTCTGGTGTCAACAGGAGGCTCCATGTATATACCTGGTGTTGGTGTAACTCTGGTGTCAACACGAGGCTCCATGTATATACCTGGTGTTGGTGTAACTCTGGTGTCAACACGAGGCTCCATGTATATACCTGGTGTTGGTGTAACTCTGGTGTCAACACGAGGCTCCATGTATATACCTGGTGTTGGTGTAACTCTGGTGTCAACACGAGGCTCCATGTATATACCTGGTGTTGGTGTAACTCTGGTGTCAACACGAGGCTCCATGTATATAGCTGGTGTTGGTGTAACTCTGTTGTCAACACGAGGCTCCATGTATATACCTGGTGTTGGTGTAACTCTGGTGTCAACACGAGGCTCCATGTATATACCTGGTGTTGGTGTAACTCTGGTGTCAACACGAGGCTCCATGTATATACCTGGTGTTGGTGTAACTCTGGTGTCAACACGAGGCTCCATGTATATACCTGGTGTTGGTGTAAACTCTGGTGTCAACACGAGGCTCCATGTATATACCTGGTGTTGGTGTAACTCTGGTGTCAACACGAGGCTCCATGTATATACCTGGTGTTGGTGTAACTCTGGTGTCAACACGAGGCTCCATGTATATACCTGGTATTGGTGTAACTCTGGTGTCAACACGAGGCTCCATGTATATACCTGGTGTTGGTGTAACTCTGGTGTCAACACGAGGCTCCATGTATATACCTGGTGTTGGTGTAACTCTGGTGTCAACACGAGGCTCCATGTATATACCTGGTGTTGGTGTAACTCTGGTGTCAACACGAGGCTCCATGTATATACCTGGTGTTGGTGTAACTCTGGTGTCAACACGAGGCTCCATGTATATACCTGGTGTTGGTGTAACTCTGGTGTCAACAGGAGGCTCCATGTATATACCTGGTGTTGGTGTAACTCTGGTGTCAACACGAGGCTCCATGTATATACCTGGTGTTGGTGTAACTCTGGTGTCAACACGAGGCTCCATGTATATACCTGGTGTTGGTGTAACTCTGGTGTCAACACGAGGCTCCATGTATATACCTGGTGTTGGTGTAACTCTGGTGTCAACAGGAGGCTCCATGTATATACCTGGTGTTGGTGTAACTCTGGTGTCAACAGGAGGCTCCATGTATATAGCTGGTGTTGGTGTAACTCTGGTGTCAACACGAGGCTCCATGTATATACCTGGTGTTGGTGTAACTCTGGTGTCAACACGAGGCTCCATGTATATACCTGGTGTTGGTGTAACTCTGGTGTCAACAGGAGGCTCCATGTATATACCTGGTGTTGGTGTAACTCTGGTGTCAACAGGAGGCTCCATGTATATAGCTGGTGTTGGTGTAACTCTGGTGTCAACACGAGGCTCCATGTATATACCTGGTGTTGGTGTAACTCTGGTGTCAACACGAGGCTCCATGTATATACCTGGTGTTGGTGTAACTCTGGTGTCAACAGGAGGCTCCATGTAAATACCTGGTGTTGGTGTAACTCTGGTGTCAACAGGAGGCTCCATGTATATAGCTGGTGTTGGTGTAACTCTGGTGTCAACACGAGGCTCCATGTATATACCTGGTGTTGGTGTAACTCTGGTGTCAACACGAGGCTCCATGTATATACCTGGTGTTGGTGTAACTCTGGTGTCAACAGGAGGCTCCATGTATATACCTGGTGTTGGTGTAACTCTGGTGTCAACACGAGGCTCCATGTATATACCTGGTGTTGGTGTAACTCTGGTGTCAACAGGAGGCTCCATGTATATACCTGGTGTTGGTGTAACTCTGGTGTCAACACGAGGCTCCATGTATATACCTGGTGTTGGTGTAACTCTGGTGTCAACACGAGGCTCCATGTATATACCTGGTGTTGGTGTAACTCTGGTGTCAACACGAGGCTCCATGTATATACCTGGTGTTGGTGTAACTCTGGTGTCAACACGAGGCTCCATGTATATAGCTGGAGATGGGTGACTGTAGTAATGTTGTGTTGTACACGTTTAAGTGGGCCACTGCAGGATAAGTAGTGCAGCTACAGTAATGAATCATCTGTAGTGTCTTCATTCTTGTGTTCTCATTAAGTACCTACCTGGAGGGTATTCCGGGGATCAACGCCCCCTCAGCCCGGTCCTCGACCAGGCCTCTTGGTGGATCAGGGTCTGATCAACCAGGCTGTTACTGCTGGCCGCACGTAAATCGACGTAAGAACCACAGTTTGGCTAGTCAGGAACTGACTTTAGGTGCCTGCTGGACAGGCACCTAAAACAGTCTTGGGCCCCTGACACTTATTGTGTTGTCTCTTAATATACATGTGACACCCCTGCTTTTCATTGGTGGAATATTGCACCTCCTGCCGAGTCTTTTGCTTTCGTAGGGCGTGATTGTCGTGTGTAAGTTTGGTACTAATCCCCCTAGGATTTTCCAATTGTATATTATCATTTATCTTTGTCGCCTGCGTTCTAGGGGATACAAATCAAGCGACTTCAACCGTTCCCAGTAATTTAGGTGCTTCATCTAACTTATGTGTGCCGTGAAAGTTCTCTGTACACTCTCCAGGTGTGCAATTTTGCCAGCCTTGAAGGGGGCAGTTAGTGTGCAGCAGCATTCCAGCCTAGAGAGAACAAGTGATTTGAAGAGAGTCATCTTGGGCTTGGCGTCCATAGTTTTGAAGATTCTCATTATCCATTCTGTCCTTTTCCTAGCAGATGCGGTAGATACATGGTTGTGGTCTTTGAAGGTGAGATCCTCTGACATTATCACTCCCACGTCCTTCACATTAATTTTTCGCTCTATTATTTAGTTAGAATTTGTTGTATACTTTGATGCAGTTATAATTTCCTCAAGTTTTCCATATCTGAGTAGTTAAAATTTCTTTTCATTGAACTTCATATTGTTTTCTGAGACCCATTTAAAGATCTGGTTAATGTCCATTTGGAGTGTTGCGGTGTCTTGGATGGGGGACACTGAGAACCAAGTGATTTAGCAAGGATCATCATTGGCATGGCATTTATTGTTTTGAAAGTTCTTATTAACTATCCTGTCATTTTCCTCGCAGTTGTGATTGTGGTACGCTTGTGATCATTGAAAGTGAGATCCTTAGA